CCCTAACACCTTGTATCCAGGTGCTTCTCTGGCTGACGGAGGTTTTGGTGCGATGGTCGGGCTCTGGTGTGTGGTGGTTTTCCCCGCTGGGCCCCCCCTCAGTGTCAGAGCCGGCGGGAACCGGCTGGGACCAGCTCGGGGCGGCTCATGGCCTCCTGACAAGCCGCCCAGCTGCCCCGCTGCACAACCTGTCACTACGATCGTTGCACAGGAGAATGGGCAAGCACCCTTACACCCAGCCAAATTAGCTTTTACAGTCCTTTCAGCTCTGGGGAATCAGAAGTCACTGTGAGGGTTGAGTTGGATTTTAAGGTTTTTACCAGCAAGACTGTTCACTGAGATAGGCCCTAAGGCAGCCCCATGAAAACCAGGGGCACTGCTGAGGGGGTGGCGAGGCCCGGTGCCACCTATGGAGAGCGTGTCCCCAGGCGGGGACACCATCCGGCCTCCCAGCTTGCCAGGTTTGCTAGTGTCAAGGGAAAACATTGAACCAGTTGATTCATGGGATGGGGAAATAGCTGGGGCACAGGGGTAGAGAGTGCTGGACACCCCAAAATCCTGCGGGAAGCTGATGTCCTTTGCTTTCTATCTGTGCAAAGATCCCAGCTCCGGCCCTGAAGTGTCATGACATGTTGGGAGTTTTAACCTATGATTACACCACAGCTGTATCTCTGGGCCTCAGACACAGGTGATTTTGGTAGGGGAAATGCCACGCTTCTGATACAAAACAGTAAACGTCTGTCTGGCTGTTTTGTTTTTAATGGCAGCTATTTGGAGTCACAGGAATATCACACATTAAGCCAGGAATAGAACCAGGGTCTATAATAAAGTCACCAAACTCGTACAGCATTTTCAACTGAATTGAATTATATCTCACAGATTCTGAAAACTGAGAGGAAGATCCCTCATTGGGAACCCACTACGATCCTTTCATAATTTACACTTTTTTCCATTCTCGAGACTGTTGTCTATTTATTTCTTTTAGTACTAAATTTCCTATCCAGCCAATGAATTAATTTGCACTTAGACAGCAAGCAGTTTGCTGTAGATGATCTGTGCCCAGGAAAGGCCATTTCCATTTTAAGGAACAGAAAATCCTTTTTTGATGTCACTAAGTGAGGTGGAAAGGTACAATATTTCAAAAAAGCAAAGCAAACACATGGATGCATAAAATACGCCCAGATATCATTACTCATATTTATGTTCAGTATCTGTAGTTTTCTCCCACCTTCAACAACAAAATTATTGCTTCTCTATTCAGCATTATAGGAATCACATGCCTTACTTTGTGCATGGCTGTGGCTTGATATCTGTCAGGAAAAAACCACAGAACTCTGACTCTGGCATTTAGTAGAAATATTCAGCGTGAGTATGTTGGAAATGGTGCTCTGATATTAATACAAAGCTATTTGTCACGTCACACATCCAGCTAATTTTCTAGTGGGTTGACAGTTGGGCCCATTGTCTGGAATAATTTAATGTGCTGTAGCTTAAACTTACTGTACTCTATGAATCATATACACAGATATTTATAATGGAAAAACTGTGTTCATGCAGTATTGAGGTTACACAAATACAGCTGTGGGTCTGAATCTTCAGCTGGTGTAAATTGGCCTCATTGGAACAACACCAATTTACCCTGGCTGTGGACCGCGCTGAACACATGTGAAAGGGAAAGATCTGGCAGAAGTATCCGCTTGTCCGTCACTGTCTGTAAACAAGAGACAAACACAAAAACAAACACAACTTTGTATTTAGGCCTTGGCTTAGCAAAGCATTTAGATGTATGCTGAGTTCTATTTTAAACCTACAAGTACTTTGATTTAATTAAGGCTGTATTTATAGATCGGCGAGAGGAATTACAGCAGATTGGGATTTTTTCTGCTGAAGCAGTTTTCATCAAATTTGTTGATTCATGAAAAAAATGAAATGTGCTATCAAAGTTTTTTTAAGTCCAAAATTTATTCTGGGGCCAGTACATTCCTGTCTGAGAACAGCCATTTTCCTAGTGACCCTTCACGTAACCAGCCCAGTGTAAGGGCCCTGTGGGCACTGCTGGGTGTTAAAGGCCCTGAGCAGCCTCACCTGGGGCCTCCCCAAGCCCACCCATGGGCCAGGAGCCCCATTGCAGCTCAGCTGTGGGATATCAGCCTCCAGCTTTGCCACAGCCTTGCCCTGCCTGGCTGTGGGCCCTGCTGAGCCGGCTGATTTTGTGGCATGACCTGGGACCTGTCTTGTTCCTGTGGACCTGTGCTGCATTCATGGGGCTGTGTCTGAGCCTGGTTACCCTCACTGGACCTGATCCTGACCTGCTGATTGACTTCCTAGCTTAAGCTTGGACTTGACTTGTCACCACAACTTGACTGATGATCTCTTGACTAAACCTGGCTGCTATCAGCGCTCAGGGGCTGTGGGACAGACTGTGACTAATGAGGCCCCTGCCCTGCCTGCAGGGTTTTTGTTCCTGGCTCCTCAGAGTCCCTTAGGGAGCAGCTAGCCTGGACAGCCAGCATCAGCCCTCTGTTCTGCTGAATTTAGCTCAGAGGCTTGAGCAGAGGGGTTTCTCTGTATTCCAGGTAAATATCCTGATTCTTTAGACTGTTGGCTCTTCTCATGTGCTCCTTTGTGGAGGTGTTGGCCTTTTCCAGATGTACAGGTGACCTAGGTATGGCTGGTTCCAATTAAACCGTAGTTATGATTCTTGTCTGGAGGCACTAGGGGACTTTCTTGATTGATTGCCTTTTATAAAGCTAGCTCACATGCAAATCTTTCCAGGATCAGACCCTCACATATTAGTATAAACTGTACCACGGATCTGTTGTGTGGTATTCTTTTTGTTCAAATAGTGGCTAAATTCAATTGCAAGAGATGTAAGTAATATGGCTTTATTTATCTTTAATTGAATTGTTGTGAATACTTCAACTCACTTAATGAGATAGGAATAGACCTTGTAGTTTGAAACTTAGTAAACCTCAGGAGACTGACTCTGGCAGTTACTGTTCTACGTGTGTTGTTATTTTGTTTATATTGTGGAAACATATGAAAATGAACTTGCTTAGCTGTAGATGCCCTCAGAGTGGAACTTTCCACTTGCTGTTGTAGATCAGTCAATTTAACACTGGCTGGATAGTTTTGAAAATCCAAAATGCACATGGACTCATACGGACCTCTCTTCAGTAAGCAATGTGTGCTTATCTCCAGCATTTTCCATACTGTGGATCATGGATATTAAGTTCCTTAGTAGTTGGTAAAGATATTCGATAAAACAGATTTATTGTCCATAGACTTTAATTTGCTATAGTACTTGCCTTGAAAAATTTTATGGGAGCCACAAATTGGAAAAGATTGAAAAGCACTGATCTAATAGGGATTTCATCTGGCATATAATTAGGCATCTGCCCTCTACTCAACTACAGGCAAGATAATCTTTTAGATTAACTTTTTTTTTTTTCCCTTTGTTAGCAGCATATGGGGGCGTAGTGGGAGAATACATTTATGCCTGGTGCATTACATGTGAGACTGACTGGAGTTTAGTACAAAACCCTTTCTCATATTTTTTCTAACTGTTCTTGAATTTGCTCTTCTTATTTGGAATATAACCCAAGTTGTGCTTGTCAGAGCAAAACCAGTAAACACTACTGGTCTTTGTCAATATTTATGCAGGAGGCTACCAAGGGAAAAGATAGTGCGGTAATGCAGAAGGTACTGATGTTGATTCAGTAGCTGTTGCTCTCCCATTTTTGTATCTTGTTTTCTGAAGTTGGTGCTAGAAGCACTGCACAGGTGATGCTAGATGATGTCAGCTGGAGTATTTCCAGCAAAAAAATCAACATTCTACAAAGTCCTTTTGGGACCTTAGCTTGGACAGAAAGATAACCATGAACTAGAACAAGTGCAGAGAGAGGCTGTGTGTCTTACGAAGACATAAAAGGGCTAGGCTATAGTAAAACAAACAGCAGGAGAGGCAATGAACCCTCCCTGTCCACACTGGAAAAGGTTAAACACCTGGGAGGAGAACTTCTTTAATTTAAAGGACGGTGTTGACCTAAAAGGAAATGTGTATAAACCGGCCATGAGTCTGATGTAGGTCAGAGAGTATAGGAAGAGTTCAGTAACAGGAGCAGGAAGTTTCTGGAACTGCTTCTCATAGGAGGAGGCACTTAACTAGTTTTCAGGTGGAGCTTCATCCCTTTATGAAAGGAAATTTTATACTGTGGTTAGCTGCCAAAAGCAGTGTTTGGACTTGACCTGAATGTCCCTTTGGGACCATTTTCTTGATATGTATCCTATATTGTTCTTCAAGATGGTGTGGTTATAATGGTTATCATTCTGCCCTTACTTACCAGTATGAGTCTGATATTTATGGCTCAGAACTTGCAGAGAAGATGATTTGCTACAAGCAGGTTCATAATTAATTCCAGTCCTATTATAGTGTTAGATAGATTTGGATTTATTAGGATGTATAAACAATTTCATTAATGAATATATTCAGTTCACTTGCTGCCAAAACCATGAGGGCTGTAATCCTCCCATCAGTACCACTTGGCATAGGGTGTGCTGCCAGCCGTGTGATGGGAACATCATCCTGTGGTGCTCTGTTTCAGAAGCCAGTGCTAGTGCTCCTCAGTGAGCTCTGACAAAAGTCAGAGAGCGGAGGTTATTATCTGAAGTGATATTATAGATCTCATTTTATCTGAGGTAGTGCTAGACTGCACACAGTCGGCATACATGCTGTTCCATATCCGTGTGTTTCTTCTCTGTTCCCAAACAGCTGTACTGACTAGCCTGCCAGATGTTACAAATCCAGTGAAAAGTATGGAGACGCATTCTTCCTCAGTAGGACTTATTCATGACCAGCTTGAGACCTGCTGTTTGGTCTAACACTTAACCTGGATTTTCTAATAACTCATCGACTATGATGACAAAACATGAGGTTAAGAACTCATTGTTGCCAGCACCATTAATGCTGGACTGATACCCTAACTCTCAGTGAAGTGGCCTCAAGACCACATGTGTAATAATTACTGGCGCATGTATGATCATTAATGACAGGGTAGATGCTTTAGCAAAGTGTTGGGCTGAGACCCTTTGGATCATTCTTAGTTCTTTTGACTCTCTCATAAGAGACTAATTTTCTTAATTAAATGTAGCACTTAACATTCTTCAGCATGTGCATTCACTTTCCTTTATGTATTGTTAGAAACAGGAACTGCAAGAGATAATCACATTGAAAGTTTATCTTCTGTTTTAAGTATGCTTAACCCCTCCCCCCAGCTACTCAGTCACTGGAAAACTTAACGACTTAATTGGTCTCCAGATTATCTACAGCAGTGTGGAGAAGTGCCAGTCTGGGAGACACTGAGGACAGTTGGTTCACTTGTTTTAAGTGATATAATGTCCAATCCTACTTATTCTGTGCTCCAGTTTAGTGTGAATTCATGACTGCCAGAATGATTAGCAGACTTAAGAGAAGAATTAACTCACTGGCAGTCAGCACGACTCCAACTAAGAATTCTGAAGTCAAAGGAGTAATTAAAGATCCATTAATTTTATGATGATCACTAGGCTATGTTTGTTAGGGCAGTCTTTTTCATGAATGGGATGAGATCCATTGATACAGTTCTGTATAGCAATGTTGTTATGACATGGAAAATCTCAGTTAGCTGAGACACTCTATCTGGTTTAAGCTGATCTCACAGGGCACATTCTCCAGACTCTGCCATTTATTGTATTAAAAACTCATTCCTTTGACAGGGAAACCAACTTATCAAAAGATGTCGAACATTTTTCCAGGAGCCCAAGTTAGCCCCTTGAAACCAGGGCAGTCCTCGCAGGGTTGAGTAAAATAGCAATTGTTGGGTCATTGCCATGCTCACATCCTTAATGGTGTGCTTTGATTAAGCAAACTAGGCAGCACACTCACTTCAGGAACACAGGAAGCATCAGTGTTTCTCATGTGGAAAACAACTTTAACTTGAAAACTTTCAGGAAATATTGCTAGTAATATGGGACAGGCCAGACAACGTTGACAGATGTTCATATTGAAACCTCCTGGCCACACATTGCAAACTCTCACAGCATCATCACGAGTCACCCAACATCTGGTATTTTCAGAACCCCAACTTCCAGTCATATTATTATGAGAAAATTGTTTAAGTCCATTTGTAGACTTTGTGGTGGAAGAGCAAATTTTGAAAACACAATCCATTAGATCTCAAAAGCAAATAAGACCCCATTTTTATGTATTTATTTATTTAAATCCCATGATTGTTAAGCAAAACTTGTTATCTGTGGGACTATATGATACTTATCATTTCCATGCATCCTTGATTAGGAGGGTGAAAGTGCGAAGTTTTCCATGATGCCGGATCTGTGCAATAAAGAAAACCCAATACTATCTTCTGGGTACTTGGGAAAATGTCTACAGTTAAGTAAGCATTAAGCAGAAATGCCTGAGAAGTCTCTGAATGAACCAGCCCTGGAAACAAAAGCAATGTAGACAAATCCAAGCAGTACTGTGCCCAGGCTGTGCTGTTTGGAGGGTCAAGTTAGTATTTCCACACAGCACTGGACTGTGCCACGCAGAGGTTGCAATTCATCTGCAACTTGTTTGGGTAGCTCAGATACAGTAATGCATTGCATAAGGCAGACATGTCTGCAGTCTTGCAAAGCCCTGGTTGCTGTGTAAAGCAAGAGTGATTGTAAACACTGCTTATTATTCATTAAGAGCCAAGAGCAATGAAAGTTTTTACAGAGCAAAGTGCATCATTAACCCTACTTTAGACCATAGTGAATCTGCATCTTTTTTCTCTGCACTGATTCCTAGGCATCTTGCTTTGTTTTCTCCCCGTTCCAAACCACATGAAACTCAAAACTCTTCATTCTCTGGGCTTTCAAGTGAGACTTGAGAGAGTTGGGGAGAGACTCCAGACCATATTGATGGGGGATAATTTGCTACAGGCATAGGCCAGCTGAAACCAAAGTCATTTTTTATGAAGAACATAATAGAGAGATTCAAAGTCTAAATTGGAATTGAGTCTCTTCCAAAATCTGCTATTGTGCATGAATAGAAGTTTAAAAAACATACTGTTTTGGAAGGTGGTACAGATCTCATCATTGAGGTCTGTTCCTCGGTGTTGCTCAAAATTCCTGAAGGTCATCCTTTCAACTGCTATAGTGTATTTCAGTTGATTAAACAAGACAGAAAGATTAATCATCTTTTATATTTCTTTTTTTTTTCTTAATAGTTTATTATTGTTTTTTAAAAGGCAGAAGCATGGTTTAACTTAACCTAGATTCTCATCCAATAATATGTATATAGATTAGATGGAGGAAATGCTCCCTATCCACAGAATAATAGATTACTAGTTTAAATTACTTGTCTTAAAAAGATCCTGATTTGGTTTTGCTGAGCATAAAATATTAGATTTACTGTTTATTTTCAGTGGATTGCTGCCAATTTTCTTCTCCCTGAATGTCTTTAGATTGTTTAAAACATTAAAAAAAGTTCACATCAAACATATATCTGCTTACAATAGATCTGTGTTGGTTTCTCAGCGGGGATGTAAAAGCTTGTTGTTGGGACATGAACTTTGCTGTTATGGAATTTTTCTTTCTTTATTCACTTTATGGCTTTTTTTTTTTTTTTCTTTAAGCCCACAAGTGTGGCAAATTATTTTGTGCTTATGTTGCTTATTAAACACTTATTAATAAAGTGAGAAAAAGGAATCCAATGAGAGAGCTTGAGGTGTCTCTTCAGGTTGTAGTAGGTTGTTTCATTCGGCTTAATCAGCAGTAATGTTTGCAACCCCTTGCAAAAAATCTTGTTATTTATACTTTCTGAAAAAACGGTGATAGGCCTGATTTTGATCAGCTCCATGGGTGCAAATGAGAAAGTAACTGTGTCAGTATTACTTTGGACTTCCATCATTGTAACTTGAACCAAATTTGGCCTTTAAGACTATTCATCAACACAAAATACAAGCTAGTATAGGCTCTGTAGTTGCAATTGTATTTTCATAAATAAAAGATTAAGAAGTCAGGCATATGTGACAGATTTTTGTGACCAGGTCAGTGTAGTGTGTCTGATGGCCTTGGAGCACTTGGAACGTTTATTTGCATTTTGATGACAGGGATATTCAATATTATTTCTGCAAATCCCCTGCATAAAGCAG